TCATCATTGGGGAGCTGAGCTAACGGCAAGAATATGAAGAGTCATGAATGAGGCGTTGAGGCTTTAACTCTCTCTCATCAAAGGTGGCATCAATGGTGGCTTCAAAGACAATAAAGGTGACACCTGTTGGAATTCCTAACCGTTGGAGTTCTGCCCGTTGGGTTCCCATGTGATGCTGAGTCAATGCCCATTTGTGATCCGGGTCGGGTGCCAGCCCTATTATCCTGTCACTAGTCCCCCCTACTCCTGAGGCAACGGATGTGTTTGAGTTGACTTGGGAGTAAAGCTGAATTTGCTTGATATCGTGCAGAATCCCGATTGATCCCGAGTATGTGATTTTATTTTCCAAATCACACATGAATTTATTTATTTATTTATTTATTTTTTTATGCTGGCCGAGACAGGCTGCGGCTTAGGCTGGCCGAGGTGCGTGCCTCCGGCCGAGGCGTCGCCTCAACCGATCGTGGCCGAGGCGTGCGCTTCGGCTGATCGCGGCGAGGACCGATCGTGGTTTTTTTTTTTTTTTTTTTTTTTTTTTTTTTTTTTTTTTTTGCCGAGACGGACTTCGGCGTTGGCCGAGGCGGGCGCCTCGGCCAGCCCCTCGACTGATCATGGCCGAGGCGTCGCCTCGACCGACCGTTGCCGAGGCGTCGCCTCGACCCACCGTGGCCGAGGCGTCGCCTCGACCCACCGTGGCCGAGGCGTCACCTCGACTGATCGTGGCCGAGGCGTGGCCTCGACCGATCGTGGCCCAGGCGTGCGCTTCGGCTGATCGCGGCCGAGGCGTAGCCTCGTCCGATCATTTTTTTTTTTTTTTTTTTTTCCGGGGCCGAGGCGCGGCCTCGGCCTGTGGCCGAGACGCCGCCTCAGCCTGTGGCCGAGACGCCGCCTCGGCCTGTGGCCAAGGCGCGGCCTCAGCCTGTGGCCGAGACGCGGCCTCGGCCATGTGGCCGAGGCGCGGACTCGGCCATGTGGCCGAGGCGCGACCTCGGCCACTTGGCTGAGGCGCGCCCTCCGCCTTTTTTTTTTTTTTTTTTTTTTTTTTTTTTTTTTTGCTGAGACGAACTTCGGCGTTGGCCGAGGCGGGCGCCTCGGCCAACACCTCGACTGATCGTGGTCGAGGCGTCGCCTCGACCAATCGTGGCCGAGGCGTGCGCCTCAGCTGACCGTGGCCGAGGCGTCGCCTCGACCGATCGCGGCCGAGGCGTGGCCTCGACCGATCGCGGCCGAGGCGTGGCCTCGACCGATCGCGGCCGAGGCGTGGCCTCGACCGATCGCGGCCGAGGCGTGGCCTCGACCGATCGCGGCCGAGGCGTGGCCTCGACCGACCGTGGCCAAGGCGTGCGCTTCGGCTGATCGCGGCCGAGGCATAGCCTCGTCCGATCGTTTTTTTTTTTTTTTTTTTTTTTTTTTTTTTTTTTTTCGGGGCCGAGGCGTGCGCCTCGGCCTGTGGCCTAGGCGCGGCCAAGGCCACTGGGCCAAGGCGGCCGAGGCCTGTGGCCGAGACGCGGCCTCGGCCTGTGGCCGAGGCGTGACCTCGGCCACTGGGCCAAGGCGCCGCCTCGGCCACTTGGCCGAGGCGCCGCCTTGGCCTCTTGGCTGAGGCGCGGCCTCGACCAGGAGGCCGAGGCGTGTGCCTCGGCCTTGGCTGAGGTGCGCCCTCAGTCATTTTTTTTTTTTTTTTTTTTTTTTTTTGTTTTGAAACAACATGAGCGGACCACAAGCACGAGATATTATTCCAAAAGATTTCATAATGCAAAGCGGGCGGACCGCGATTTCCAAACACCAGTTCCAAACGACTACTAGAATATTAAGGAAAATACTTAATCAAATGTTCCTAGCTCCATACCCGATCGATCATCCTTACAGATGGTGTGGACTTGTAGATCATTTCTGCCAATCTTTTTGCATGCTTTAACGTAACAACTGCGGGCCGCTCGCTGGTCTCCTCTGACGACCCCTATCCCGCTCGGAGTGGGGAACTTCATACACAAGTGTTCCACCGACACTATGGCCTTGAGGTTCTCCAGTGCCGGTCTCCCCAATATGATGTTGTGCGCGCAAGTGAGTCTTACCACGATGAATTCCAAGTCAAGTTTGCGAATGTTAGGGCTCGTGCCTATCTCCACTGGTAAGACCACTGACCCCTCCGTCTCCACTGAATCACCCGTAAATCCAGAGAGTGGGGTACGTACTTCTTTGAGCTGGTTCCTAAGTATCCCTAACTTGGTGAAGGCATCGTAATACATCACATTGACTGAGCTTCCCGTGTCGACTAAGATGCGGCGGATAATGACATCATTGACGTCCATCTCAATTACCAGGGCGTCACGATGGGGTAACGGGCCCTCTGGGAGGTCATCATCAGAGAAGGTGATGGCCTCCTGTCTCTGTTTCTTTTCTCTGGGAAGACTCGCCACTTCTCCCACGTATAGCCGCCGGCTCCACTCATTTCTTTCCGCGGGCGTGTCGCCCTCTGCAGGTCCACCATAGATAAAGTGTATGGTGTGCCTCTTTTGTCGTCTGGGCGCCACCTCGGTTTCTTTCTCGCTATCACTCTGCTTAGATATTTGGTCGTGGTCTCTTTTTTTGGCGTTTGAGGTGGACGGCTCGGTGCCATCCTCATTCCTCCAGACATTTTTTGGTGGATTGTGTTGCGGCTGTTGCCGCTGCTTGGGTCGCTTGACGAAATGTCGGAAGTAGCCCTGCTGGATGAGGTCTTCTATTTGTCTCTTCAAAACGTGACACTCATCCGTATCGTGTCCGGCATGCCTATGAAACCTGCAGTACTTTGTTTGGTCTGCCTTTGGGGAGACCTTCATGCACTCCTCGGGGAATTCTACCATTCCCATCTCCTCAGCTTGCTTTAGAATGACACTGACGGGATGGGTAAGAGGAGTCAAATTACGCAAGGGGACTAGGCGAGGCCGTTCGTGGTCTCGGCCTTTCCCTGCGGTCGGGTGGTTCGAGAGTGGTGCCTGGCTGGGCGGACCAGCTTTCCCAGGCTTCCCATCTTTCCTACCATCCTCTTCGTCCTTCTTCTTCCTGTCGACGTCCTCTGCTTCGGCATAGCAGCTAGCCGTCCTCATCAGATCTTCGTAAGAGCGGGGGTGGTGAGCGTTCAGCTGCTTGTGGAAATACCCTGATCTTAAGGCATGGATAAATATCGGGATCGCCGCCTTGGAGTCGAAGTCGTAGACATTATTGACTTCCTTTTTCCATTTGATCAGGAAGTCTTTGAGGCTCTCGCCTCTATCTTGCTTCACTACACAGAGGTGAGAGAAGGGTTTCTTGCGATGTATGCTACCGGAGAAGTATGTTAGGAAGCTCTTGGATAACTCCCCAAAGTTTTGGATCGACCCATCTGGGATGGTGTTGAACCAGTCTTGGGCCGCTCCATCCAGTGTGGACAAGAACGCTCGGCACATGATGGCGTCCCCTGCCCCGATCATTACCATAGCAGCCTTGTACCTCGTCATGTGGACACGTGGGTCAGTGGCCCCCGTGTACTCCTTGATGGCGGGCAACCTAAAGTCCCTCGGCAAAGGTACGTCCATGATGCTAGGGGAGAATGGTGCTGCCATCCGTACCTCAGGTTCCGGCGACTGCTCCCGTGCCTCCACCCTTCTTGCTAACTCCTCGATTCTTCTCTGCAGCTTCTCGACCAGGGCCGACTCGTCAGGGTGCCGACGCGGGGCCGGCTGCCGCTCCTCCATGTGTCGGCGTGGAGCTAGTTCATCGACGTGCTGTCTATCTGAGTGTCGACGCGGAGCGGGTTCCTCGACGTTCCGTCCATCCAAGTGTCGGTGTGGGACCCGCTCATCAGCGCGCCGCTTCTCCGCCGAGTGCCGACGCAGAGCCGGCTCATCGACGCGTCGCTCCTCCAAGTGTCGACGTAGGGCCGACTCATCAACGTGTCGGCGTGGGGTCGGCTCCCGAGACTCGCCCACCTCCTCTGTGGGTGATCTCTCGGCTTGTCTGTTCTCGTGTTGGCGAGGGCCTCTGGTAGAGGACCCCTCGGCCCGTGATCCTAATATTTGCCGCACGGGCGCCCTCTGTCCCAATCGTTCTGGCGCAGATTGGGAAGGGCCTGGTTGTCGTCTGGCCGGTCCACTTCTTTGGGCCTCTACCCCTATTTGCTGGGGCCGCGGCGTGGGCACTTGGCCTTGCAGTCCCACCGCCACCTGATTTAGCGCTGCCGTCACTGCTTGCTGAATGATATCGGCAGTCGCCTGGAGGTTCACGGCTTGGTTCACCCCCCCATTGTTGAGTTGGTCTCGAAGGTCCCCGGGCCTCCCATTGTTGAGCTGTTCTCGGAGGTCCCCTCCACGATTGTTGGTGAGTTGGTCCCGGAGGTCACCTGAGGCATTGCCATTGTTCACGTTGCGAGAACCGTGGGAGTTGCGGGACGCCATTCTTTCAGGCTTACTGTTGAAAGAGAAAAAGAGTAGTGTTGTAGCCTGCTTGAGTATTGGACTCAGGCTCTCAATGAAAGCACCAATGACGGTAATAACGTTACCGGTAAATAATAATATAACAATGCTATAAGAGAATACGATGGTTGTATTGCTTTTGTCTTAGTATAGAAAGCACAATGTCCCCTGCTCAGTTGAGGGAAGTTCTATTTATGCTAGGTCCTAACGGTAACAACATGAAGAGTCATCATTGGGGAGCTGAGCTAACGGCAAGAATATGAAGAGTCATGAATGAGGCGTTGAGGCTTTAACTCTCTCTCATCAAAGGTGGCATCAATGGTGGCTTCAAAGACAATAAAGGTGACACCTGTTGGAATTCCTAACCGTTGGAGTTCTGCCCGTTGGGTTCCCATGTGATGCTGAGTCAATGCCCATTTGTGATCCGGGTCGGGTGCCAGCCCTATTATCCTGTCATAAAGTGTCATTTGATTTCTTATATTTTAGTACGGAGTATATTTTATGACTTCAAAAAAAAAAAAAATTAGTATATTTTATCATAATTGGTGGGGGAATTACCCTTCCAAATTGGATGCCTTGATATTTCATATGTTAAAATCATAGATGCCTAAGAAATAAAAAGCGGAAGGATCCTCAAGCCAGCTACATTGACCGTATTACCGCCCCCGCGCCACCTGTTTTGACGCCACTTTTTCAATTCTTCTGTCACTCGACGTCCCCATTTCTGGTTCTCGGCGACTATGGCTTCACGGACCGATCCCCAGATCCCCAATGAGCAGTAAGCCCCGTTGCTTGATAACAAACCACAATTTTGCTTTTCATACTACCCAAATTAACAAAAAAGGATTATTTTTTTCTTGATTTCTGACTGAATTTATGAATTGATGTGTATCCCTTTTGGTTTAAAGGAAAATGTTTAGGACACGAAAGCAACCCCCGTTCATGATGCTGCTTCCTTTAGTCTATGCTCCTGTTCTTCCTCTGAGTAAGTTTTCGTTTTTTTTGTTTGTTTTCATAAATTACGTGTATTCATATTGTCATTATTCTCAATTTTAGGTTTTGTTATTGGTTCCTAAATGGCCTAATGGTTATGAACTCTGGTTTACCAGTTCGGATTTCACTGCGACACAATCCGGTTGTGAGGGATCGGCTGTTCTATGGCGTTCTGGCCGGTGCATTTGCTCATGGACTTTACTTGATGTATCCTTGATTTCTTATTTTGCATATTTATGTTTATTTGTGCTTTATATACTTTGTGTGGGAGTTGAAATTTTATGTTATTTTCCTAAAATTTGGAGTAGTACATAATCCAAGAATATCCCATTTGCTCTTGCTGAATTGATTAAATTTTGTTGTGAGGACATTGACATTTGTGTTGCTCCAATCCCTCAGTGAGAATTTAGAATTAGAATTTGAGGCCTTGGCATGAAGAGGTGGAAAGTATTGTGCTTATGCTAGAACTGCAGGCAATCTATACCTAGGAGGGAAATATGAACAGTAATTCATTCTAAATCAAGTTGAAGAATTTAACTTAATCAAATCCAGTTTATTTCAAATTATACATTGATATAAACTTGTTAATAAATCTTAGGATTAATGCATGATGCTACTTTTCTCTACATACAATTCACCAAGTATACTGATAGTTTGGTTATGGTTCCTTTCATGATAGACTTGTTAATTCTAGGGAGTTTTTTGGAAAGGTCATGTCCTTGTATATTGTGCTGACCTGAACAGCTATAAAATATGTTGTTTGGAATCTGGATTCTTGAAATGTTAGAATTGCTATCTGTTGACTGTTGGATTGAATGTCATTTGAAGAAAATTTTCAAGGCAAGTATGATCGTAAGAGCATGTTGGGTTCATTATTATACTTGTAATAACAAATAGCATGAAATTCTAAAGTTGTCACAATGAGAAATACATTCTCCATTTTTCTATGTCATAACAGAAACTATTTTCTAGCCTTTGTTCACTTTTACAGATTTTTTCTTAATTGTTTTCTCTATTGATAATATTGAGTTTCTTTAGGTTACTTGAACTTTCTAAAAGATATTACAATCAATTTGCAGTTCAAAGAACATGAGTTTGCGTTAGGTGTTATTCATTTGTGATTGTTACAACTTACATGTGACTATATAAGCAATGAGGATTAGATTATTCTGTTGCTTATATTTAAGTTTGAGGGTCTTTGTAAAATGAGTATAAGGTTGATTTTGTGGTGCTCGTTCTGAACAGTGCCCATAGTATTTCTAGACTGTACGAACTGCGGTTAGTATCAGAAAATAGCTGTTAAAAGGACTGAATTTTAGACCACTAGAAAGCTCAGTTCTTTTAGATTCAGGCTGGCAGGGCTCTTTAGGTCCCCATGGCTCAACATTGTGAACAGTAAGATGGAAGAATAATCTGTCAAATATTGAATAGAGAAATATACCTTATGGATAGTGATATGTAGTTTTCTTGCAAAGATGACAAGACTATACTAGAAAAGTAGAGGTAAATGGAAGCCTACATTATAGAAAGAAGAGCTCTGCAAAAAAGATTAGACTTCAAAGAATAAAGCGTTTCACAGAGATGACAACCGATCATGTTATGTATGTTTGATTCTTATATTGGCAATGAGTTTATTTGTTAGTAGGGATAATGACTCTGTTAGGACTTCTTCGCCTTATCATCATGTCTTGTCCAAGATCAAGGATAGATATGTGCTTTTTGCCTTTTTGTCATCAAGTTCTCTGTAATGTTGAGAAGAAGCTTGGGGTTATACTTGTATCATTATTCAAGCATCATTGCCTCTTTAGTTGTGTGTATTCCAGAAAATGATATTCGTATTAATTTCAGAAGGGGGAGTGCATATACAAAGCGGGTCATCGTTGATCATTGTGACATCTGTTTATATATGTATATGCTTGTAACTTGTTTGCCTTAACATATATGTTCAGATCAGAGCTATATGATGTTGAGAGCAAGTGAAGCGATGGAAAACGTGCCTAGGATTCTGGTTTCTTGGAGAGACATTTTTTTAAATTTATTTTTGTAATAAGCAAGCATAATGCAGCATGACAGTATTGTTACAAGATGGCTGTTCACAGGTATGATGGCACTGGTGAATTTTGGAAACTGTGTTGAACCTAAGATTCTCAGAAAGCTAACTAAACTGCAACTCCATGGTTTTCCAGAAAAAGGCAACACCCTGTGTTCACTACAGTGTTATTTTTGTATGGATTTGTATTGAAAAATGCCATCTTTCATTAATAATTCTGCAAGTGGTAGTATATTCCCCACTCCAATGCCTGTCTAAATTTTGTCAACATCTTTTAAAGGCCTTCTTGCATTCTAATCAGGCCCCATTTGACTATGACCACATCCCACCATCATTATCATTCAACTCATGTATACAATTATAGTTATATATAAGCAAAAATAAATTATTTCTCCATTTTTCTAGTCTAGAAAAATAAAAACTCGAGAAAGAACCAGAGAATTGAGGAAATCAGATTAAACCACTTCAAAAACATCCTTCCAAAACACATATCATTAATGATAGTATATGCTTCGAGAATCATAGAATATATACATTTTTTGGTCAAAGTACTTACGAGGTTCCTGTACTATAACGTTTTGTTCAATTTAGCCCTTATACTTTTATTTTATTCAATTTAGTCCCTGTACTTTAAAAAACAGTTAATGGTGTTAATATTACGGGTAACTTAGGTTATATGGCGCTGACGATATTTATATTCTTACTCATATATTTCTTTATAAATATTTAAAATTAGTTATTTTTACCATCAATATATTAAATTAGTATGTCTAAAATAAATAATTAAAACCATGTTTTTAATGAGATTTGGACAATTGTCCTTAATTTCACCACTTTTTAAAAGTAGATGGACTAAATTAAACAGAATAAAGATACAAGGATTAAATTGAACAAAACACTATATTACAAGAACTTTATAGGTACTTTGAATATATCTTTCTAAGTAACAGAGAAACTCGGCACTATTACCTGATGGTATGGACTAGTAAAACCGAGTATATACTATATACATATTGACTAATATATAATAATAGACTAATAGGAGTACTTATATTACATATCTAAAGTACAAATTTTCTTGATAAAGTGTTCCACATCATTGAACGCATATTTACAGATTGCACAAGCAAGCATTATTGAACATCATGCTTATCTGCATATAATAGAAGATCTATATATATATATAATATATTGCAGTCGTACAAGATCATTGCATGGTCCACGTTATCACCAACTAAAATTTCAAGTTTATTGAGCAGTAAGATAAAATAAAATATATAAAAATAAAACAACCGGTCATGAATCGTACCGAACCGGGACTGTAGATCACAGACCGGATCGGTCTGAGAAATCGGAGGCGAGTCGGGAAGCGATGGCGGAGTGGTACATGACGTCGTGGAACGACGACGACTCCGTTGTGAGCTTCCGGAGTTGTCGCGCCTTCTCATCCGTGAACGCGCCGGGAGCGAATCGAGAGATCGCCGGTTTTGCATCTTGATCGGGATCCGTTTTGTTCTCGACTTTCCTCTTGGAATTCGCGTCAATGTAGTCCGGTTCGGCGGGAAATCCGAAAATCGGGGCCCACCAGTTTGAGTTACCGCCGGCTTTCCGGCCACTGGCGTCAGGTTTCCGGTGGGAGGAGGAGCCGGCGCACGCCACGACGACGGTCGGCCGCAACGGTAACAAATTCGTCGCCATTTCTACCGCTCGTATATGTAGAGAGAGAAACTGCCGTGAAAGTAGGGTTGAACGAGAGTTGACTGGCTTTGCTAAAACGCTTTATTTTAATGAGAGTTTTGCTTGCCTTTTATAAAGCCTAACATGGAGGAAACAGATAAGATGGTACACGTGTCGGGTGACTGTTAAGGAACAATGTGGGGCTCACTTTCGCTTTTACTTTCACACTAGACTCCTCCAATTTACAAATATTACTTTTTACATCCATTTAGTTTTTAAAATAACCATCTACTATAATTTCACCCTTTTTTCCTTTGTTTTTATTTTTGTTTTTGTGTTTTTTCAATTTTAATTACACTAAAAAATTGCTAAGAACTTTTGGTCTAATGGTACCAAAGTTAGACTCCCATATGGAAGGTTGTAGGTCCGAACCTAGTAGTTATGAACAGATACTACATTGTAATAGAGTCAGTAATATTAAAAAAAAATTACTCTAAAGAGTTAATTGGTCCCACGAGTATCGACAAAATAACAGTTTTAGTCCACATACTTAATTCCTACCAACTTTCATCCACGACTATTGTTTTAGTGTCAAAGTTCATCACACCGATCACACATTCGTTTAATATATGCTAAAATATGAAATTATTAAGGATATTTTCGTCTTTTTCAACTTAAGATTTCAATTTGAGCATAAATAAAGGGATTTAAGCTCTAAGATCGATCTCAATTCGCAATTCTCCTCCTCAATTAAGGTAGAATAAGGAGGATAATTATGAATTGAGATCGATGTTAGAGCTTAAATCACTTTATTCATGTTCAAATTGGGTTCTTAAGTTTAAAATGACGAAAATATCCTTAAAATTTTTAGATTTTGACAAGTCTTAAAAGGGGGACTGATCGGCGTGATGTTTGGCACTAAAATAATAGTCGTGGATGAAAATTGGTACTAAAACAATAGTCGTAGATGAAAAATGGTAAGAATTAAACATGTGGACCAAAACTGTCATTGTATTAATACTCATGGGACTAAAATGTGTATTTGCTCATTAAATCTTTTTCAATTTAATTCATCGTAAGCTTTTCTTTGTGTGAACTGTTAATATTGAGAATGCAATTAAGACTGCTAAAATAAGAAAATTAGGACTTTGTTCCCAGCTTCTGAGAAATAATTGGCGCAATAGTCATAACTTACCAACTTTACCGTTAATGTTAGTGATTCACACAAAGAAAAGTTAACAATGAATTAAAATTGGGAATGATTCAATTTTTTTTTTGGTGTAAACCACAATGTAGTCCAAGTCTTTCTCCCGAAAGCTAACCCAAAGAGAATCGTCACATGTGGGAATCGAATCCAGGTTATCCCGAAATTCTCCCCCACAAAGAGAGTTCATTTGCCACTTGAGCTACCCTGTTGGGTTGAATGATTCAATATTTAAAGATTAAAATTGATAGTTTAGAAATGAGTTAATTCCAGCAATGGTCCTCCGACTGTATTGATTTTCCAAAATTAGTCCTTGACTTTTAATTTGGACACTTTAGGTCCCTTGACTTTCAATTTCTTTCCAATTGAGGTCCTTTCATCAGAATACGGTTAATTGAATTTTAAATGAAGGGGTAAACTCATCATTTCACCTGCCTATGTATTATTCTTAGTATTTCTCCATTGTATACGCGATATATATGAAGATAATCTTAGTCGAAACCCTAAAATGTTCCTCGTCGTTCCCCATTTGCTAACTACTCGTGTGTGCGTTTCTCTATTATTGAGATGTTTACAAGGTATAACAGCGAAATATGAAGGGAGAAATACGAAGAATAATACATAGGCAGGTGAAAGGACAAGTTTACCCCTTCATTTAAAGTCTAATGAACCGTATTCTAACGAAAGGACCTCAATTGGAAAGAAATTGAAAGTCAATGGACCTAAAGTGTCCAAATTAAAAGTCGGGGACTAATTTTGGAAAATCACTATAGTCGGAGGACCATTGCTGGAATTAACTCGTTTAGAAATTAGAAGAAGTCTATGACTAAAATTGAAAATGAGTGATAGTCATAGGGCTAAGTCCACAATTAACTATGCTAAGTATTCAAAAAATGATTAAATGTAACGAAATATAATACTTAAAATTAAAAATTAAATAAGTGCAGTTTATTTTTAGGTTTTTTTGTTCACATTCATTTAGTTTATACAAGCAATAATAGCAAGCTAGCTAGTTATAGCTTTTTATCTATTTCATTTAAAGTTTTTAGTACTAAAATTTAATTTGAAAAAATATATATTATAGAGTATTTTTTTTTTTGAATGCTACTAGCTCTATTACATTGTAGTATCTGTTCATATATTTGCTCAACCTACTGAAACATAAAGAGCCAATAACGCCTCCACTAAGGCTGAACTCATAACCTTCCAAATGGAAGTCCAACCCGATTACCATTAAACTATCACTTAAAACGGTTACATTACAATTATAGAGTATTTTAAGATATAGGCTCTCACTTAAAACGGTTGCATTACACTTGATTGAAAAGTAAATGTTGAAAAACTAAATCCAATAAGAAAATCAACCTAATAGCCCTAAGCTACTCAAAACTACTATTTGTTTTCCAAAAAACCAAGTGAGTTGCGCAATTGACATTTCTATGTATCCAACATATTTGAGGTTTAAAAACAAAACTAAAGTTTTTGACCTAGTTTCGCTGATCAGACAGACTATATCCTAGAATAAACCCGCTCCCAAATTCATAATGAGATAAATCAGGCCAATCTAATTTCAAGACTCAACATCAAATTATATACTTCTGTGTACACAAGCTTAACCCAAATTCAAACATTGATGTGTTTGGTTCACACATGAGAATCAGAATCGGAATGGGTATCACATACTTGGTAATAATAATGGGTTTTGGTGAAAATATTTAGCATGTTTGGTAGTAGGGTCACTAGGGTGGAATGAGAATGGTTACTAATAAAGTAATAATAGTGCTTAAGAAGGAATAAGGGAATGAAACCCTTATTTTATTTCGGTATTGGTTTTTTAATTAATGGGGTATTCGAAACTCATAGTAGTGTTCTAAAAATCTATTAACCAAACAATAACAATCACTTTCATACCCATTTCTGTGAGCAAAACTCATAAACCTAAACACACCCTAAATGTTCGTGACATAAATCAAACTCCCATCATGTCACTAAAAGCAAGTCTTAAATAAAGGTTTTTTTTATTAAAAAAAAAAAAATCATGCCATAACATCACTAAACGAAACAATATAATAATAGGTAAAAGCGAAAAGTTGATCCGAGTGGTCCGGTAAAAGAAAAGTGGGTTAGCCTGAGAAGGACGTCTCCGATCCGGTTGAAGTTGATTGAGAAATGTGAGCGTTAATCTCCGGCGGCATCTATCCATCCATCCATTGGTATATAGAGGAAAGTTGGTGGAAGCTAGCTGCGGCGTGCGGGCACACGTTTTTATTTACTATTCAAAAGCTAAGGGTGTATAGTTTTGGTGGTTTGCTACCAACGGTGGCGATGGATCGGAGGATCCCGGCGGGCGGAGACGCGTCTTCTTCGACGACGTCGACACCACCTTTTGTCAGTTTATATATATATGCATGCATCATGCATGGGAAAGTCACGATAGGATGGTGGCCTGGGTTACGTTAAATATCCAGCTAAGCGTAGAGTATATATACATTCAAAAGATCAGAGATGAGAGAGAGAGAGAGCATATTCTGTAGTATATATACCGCCATGTGAGTATTAATTCGTTAGTTTGTCATCTTCCTCGCCTCTGTTTTCTGCTTTGTCGGCTCACAAACCATGCATCATCGCTCCTAGTTTCCACTTTAATTTCATGGTTGAAATTCTCCACTTATTCTTTATTCATAACACTTTTCAACGGTCAGCTCCGATATTTTTCATCAAATTAAGCTTCAATTACAACATAATTCTATTCCATTCTTATAATATCAAAAACAGCAATCGCAGTCAAACGGACAGAGAGGAGTACCTCCGGCATCCGCCCTGCCAATTCCCAATTCCTCCTCACTATAAATTACAAGCCCATCTCCCGTCCTTTTCCTACACCTTAAACCACCCGTCGAACCATTTTCTTTACCAACTTTGCTATCCTTCCTTTTGTTATTCTTCATAGCCTCTTTTTTAGGCTCTCCAACCACATCCTCGACCTTCTCCGGCTTCTTTCTCTTTTTCCCCGCAAAGATTTCATCGATTTCACTGCCACACTTTAGCTTCTTAGGTGTCGCAGAAGAAGATATGACAGGTGGTGGTGGCGTCTTCTTCATGTTTTCTGCCACAGGGTTCTGCTCATCATCAACTGGTTTTGCATTCTTCGATAGCTTCTTTTTCTTCATTTTCAATTCTGAGCAAAACTCGGGTGAATAACTTCCTTGAATCTTGCTAAACTCTATCCCCCTTTGTGGTCATTCCTCTAGCAATCTCTTGGATGCAAACTTTATCCTACAATACAAAAGTAATCAAATAGAAATTCTATTAATCACTGGGCATTTCGAATACAACAAACAAAAATCACTCCAATTAATTCAGAAAGAAACCAGATTTCACACTTCATTGGGCTAAAGAGGTGAAAAATGTTCTCAGAAGCCAAGCGTAACAAGTAAATTTCATTGAAGATCCAAACACAAAGTAGGATCTTCTTACATGTTAGAACCTCATCACTGCAGCATCATCTCATCATCCAACAAGACAGAAACAAAATAGATGAAAAATATATATGTATTGTTAAGGAAACAGATTTAGCTACTGCAAATTTGAAGGAAAAGGGTAGGAAAAATCAGTTTCCTCCAATCGTGATTAGTAGCTCTTTATTGGCACCATGCAAAAGGTGGATTGCTAGAGACATATTTGAACAAACCCCCGTTGTCTGACTCGAGTGCCTCATTCAATTAAATATATAATTTAAAAATAATATATCCAGATTATTGTGTCATGAAACAATTTTCATATGAATCATGGGTCTTCAGCCGGATAATCTGTTTAGGCTCCATGCGGCAGACGGGTCTGCCATTAACTGGCACCTGCTGCTGACTCTGTATGGAGCCATCATACTAAAATCTTCTTCATCTTATTAATTAAAACAAAATAAAAATTTCCATACTTTAGAAGCAATAATATTTAGAGAGTTAAAAAGAAAAAATAGATAGAGGGAGAGATGGAAAACCATTACTTTGATTCCCCATACATTGATTGCTATCAAAATTGTGTGTATTAGGCAATTAATATAAGAACGTATGCTGTAATAGTTTGACAGTTCAGTTGGCTATTAACCAATTAGACCCGACTGATGGGATAGATGAATCCTCCATGGAAATGACTGAAGAAAGATCTACTTGGCTATAAAAAGAGGGAAAAGTAGAATGTCAAATATTTTCTCCAAACAATGCAAGTGAGAAAAGAAACACCAGAAGCAAGAATATGAAGTGATTGATAATTAAAAGTCAGAAACACAAAACTGGCAGATCTGTAGCATCATATCTTTTTATGGGAAATGTTTGATGAATTTCAACAGTTTAACATCCACTAGCTAAAGCTTAACCCTATATAAGATAATCAGACCCAAAATCTCAATTGAGTGATGGTTTGGATATCATTTGAAAAGAAGAATATTCTATAAAACCCTCTAAAGACTTAGAATTTAAATAAACAGATTAAAAAAAAAAAAAACTTGCAATAATCCATACTTCAAGAAATTATTTCATATGCTACAGTAACAAGTAAATGAATGGAAAATTTCAACAATGCATACAGCACCAAAACATTTTCCATTAAATGGATCATGCATCAATAATAATAGCAAGAACACAACAGATTCATCAAATTCAACAATACTTATATATGGAATTTGAGTCAGAATCAAGTTTATTTGTGGGTTCAAAATTCAAGCTATCCTATTTTGTCCCTTCACAAAACAATGGAAAAAAACAAGAAAAAATGCTGGATTTGAATTGGAATATTGATAGGCCTGCTCAAAATTTTGAAGGAAAAAAAAAAAAAAAAAACAAAGCAATTTATCAAGATTCAACACAGAAGGCATCAATTTGAAGGGCATAGAATGAGCTAGAGAACCATTTCTATGTCAACGCATAATTTCCCACCATAGCACTTATCAGTAAAATCAAATAACAGAATGAATCCATTAATAAATTGAAGAAACACTCTTACCTGGGCCAGGCATTGCATTGGCACACAGCTATCATTCGCGAGCGCCTGCGTGTGAGCCGGATTCGCCACGAGGAGTTTGAGACTCAGATTAGGCTTTAGGGCTTCTAGTTGTTCTAGACGTTATATATAGTTGTTCTAGACGTTCTAAAAGTCTGGTCTTTCCGCAATATATGGCGTATATATCTTCTTGGGCCTCACTTAAGAGTTAGGTTTTTAGCGGCTAAAAACCTAACTCTTAAGTGAGGCCCAAGAAATAATTGAGTTCCCAGTTCCCACCCATAATTAGGGTTTCTTCTATGTCAATATTTTTACCTATATAAAGCCATCACCTTTAGTCTTTTCTTCATCTACTCCTGCATTTTAAACTACTATCGCCGTTGGGCGGTGCTTGCCATGCTTTTTCCGCCGTCGATTAGTCCTCCGTTTCTATTTCATGCTTCGATTTTTCGTTTTTTTTTTTTTCTTTTTGGGTATATTTGTTTTGATTGAGTGAATTGTGATGCTTAAGAAAGCCAATTTGCAGAGCAAGTGCGTCTGATTTAAAATGGCGAAATCTCTTGCATTGAAGGTTGGCAAAATCATGTTGCGATTCTCCGTGCCTTTCAAATTTCATCGTTTTGATTACGGCCTCGAACAAGTCGCTACATTTCTCTAATCTTCTTTTCCGTCTCTAAATTTGTAGTGTGAGTAATTGAATCATATGAATACGATTGCACAAGCAAGCTAGGGAGGGCTTCGCGAGAGTTAAAAAATGGCGACGCCCCAGCCGCTATTGTGCATAAAGGGAAAGCTGAGCTGTAGTCAGCGGCGGCCAGACAACCGCTGAGATGGATCCACAGATGGATTCTTTCAAAATAGGACTTGTCTACTAATTCCATCTCACATTTCTTAGCCTATCCTTATTCTCCCAATTTCTTTCAATCACATTTCAAAAATGGTGTTTCAATTTTACCTCATTTTTAAAATTAATATCTTTTTTATAAATAATAATAAAAAAAAACAAAAACAAAAAGCACAAAAGTTACCGTGACAAATTTTGTATAGATTACAAATTTGCATCTAGTACAAATTTATATATATATATACATATATATAAGTTCAATTTTTGTTGGGATAAGACCAGCCTTAGTTGATTCAGACCACACCTAATCAATTAGTAAGGCTGACAGAAGCAACAGACATATATTTTTTTATTGCTTAGTTGAATTGTAAATTTGCAATTGGTACAAAAGCTGCTGTAGTAGCTGTGGTTGTTTAAAAAATATTAATTTTGTAAAGTGTGATTAGATTTGCAGGGATATTAGTGTAAAATAGTATTTACTTTTCAAGGTGAGAGTATTGCAGGAATAAAAATAGCAAGACCTCATCTATATATATATATATAAACAAAATATTTCACTTTTATGCACAAATTTTTGTAGTAAAATTTATTAGGTAAATGGTAAATGAAAATTAATTTAAATTTATTAATTGTTAATATTGCAAAACTTTTAATATTATTTATGGTATTATATTTTATAATATAATTGATTGATAATAAAATTATTTAAATATAATAAAAAAGCCTATGTAATAATAAAATTATATATAATAATAATAATATTAATTCAAATAAAATTATATACAAAATAAAATTAAAATTAGAAAAAAAAAATAAGAAGACAAAGGGAGTCGTCGGATCCCTTTGTAAATGGTGTGGGATCATTTTGAAAATGTTTGAAAATAGGAGTTCTTGAGCTTCTCTATATAAGAGGAGTAATGTTTATCTTACCAACATAATTATTTGTCTATTAGTGTGGTCAAGTATTGAGAAGTCGGATTACTCTTATTTAAAAAGTCTTGGATTAATGGCTTTTTATTTTAGTTTTTTTTAAAAAAAAAATTATTTTGAGGTTTGGATACTTATATATTTTGGGTTAATCTTTCACAAACCCCCTTAATAATTTTTTTTTTTTTAAAAAACAAAATAAGAAGCTATTGATTTATCAATACTTGCCCACATTGATGGGCAAACAATTATGCTTGTAAGATGAGCAATTGTTCATCTTATAGAGGAGCTCATGAGCTCTTTTTTCCAAACGTTTTCAATGTGGGATAAAACATTTACCTGTGGTTTTTTTTTTTAATTTTATTTTATTTTGTATATAGTTTTGTTTGAATTATTGTAATAATTGTAATTTTATTTTATTATACTTGAACGATAATATTATCAAAGTTTGAGCGTGAAAATAAAATAGGAGAATTTTGTTTATATATATATATAATGTGATAATAAATAAAATTACATTACAATAATAATATTAATAATATAATTATTATCTATATATATAATGTGATAATAAATAAAATTACATTACAATAATAATATTAATAATAGGGAAAATGGCACTTTTTCCCCCTAAGTTATATACTTATAGCCATTTTTCCCCCTCAATTATTTAGGTAAGCACATTAACCCCCTCAATTATTCTAAAAGTGGTGATTTTTCCCCCCTGATATATTAAATTGACATTTCTACCCTTAAAGTAAACATTTTATTTATTTTACTTCTCCAACAAATTATCGCGTATACGTAGGGATGACCACGGTTCAAATCAAACTGAACCGGACACTATAGCAATTGAATTAAAAGTTTTCGGTTATGATTCAGATCTAGAACCTAATATTTGGATTTCAATTTATTAAAATTATGAATAAAAAAATTGGATCTTGAACCGTGAATCGGCGGTTCTGGATCCGGTTCGCAATTTTGAACCGTTTTTATTTTAAAATTTTATTTTTTATTTTAAATAGTCTAAATTCTACAATAAATATATTTTATTTTTTTAGTTCGGTACATGAATCGTCCGTTCCGGTTCGCGATTTTAATAAACTCTAAATATCGAGTTTCGATTCTAAATTGTAATTGGAATATTTCGGTTTGGTTGCTATAGTGTTTGTTTGGTTTGAACCAAATTATTGTCATAATTTGTTGGAGAAGGAAAATAAATGAAATATTTATTTTAAATATTTATTTTAAGGGTAAATATGTCCATTTAACATTTCAGGGGGAAAAACAGCCACTTGAATAATTCAGGGGGAGAAAGTGCTATAAGTATATAACTTAGGGGGAAGAAGTGCCATTTTCCCTTAATAATTAATTATTATCAAAACAAAACTATATACAAATGAAAATTTTAAAACAAAAACAAAGGGGGCCGGTAAATTGCATTCAAGAAGAGCTCCTCTATATAAGGGGAGCAATGTTCATATTCTATTGCCTATTAATTAGAAGGCCATATATATATTTGCCTTGGAAGTTTATTGATCAAGTTGAAGATGGAACTTTTTTGGCTTTCTAGTTGATTATTCCACATTTTGATTGCAGATTTTTAGGAGAGCAAAAACTAAATTCTAAAAAATATGTGCATAGACTGTTGAAAGGAATCACATATTGCTTTAAATTGGAGTGGGAAACCTAAATTTCTAATTTTACCCTTCATTTTAACACAACTTAACACTAAAGCTGAGAATCATCTTGGTTTAAAATTCAAAAGTCAGGGGATCACTTTCGGGGAAATTAAAAGTTAAGGACCAATTTGAGAAAAGACTATAGTCAGAGGATTATTTTAGAAATTAACTCTATAATAAACATAATCTAACATAATACACATAGACTCTTAACATAGTGGCATAAATTCGTAAAAAAATTGTAACGCGATTAGACGTACAAAACGGTGTTTTTTGTGTTAAGCCGTTAACTCCCCAACAACTTATAGAAACGATGTAGTTTTGGGCCAAAGTGCACAATACTGATATAATTTGCCTTGTCTTTCCACAATATATATTCTTGGGCCAACTCAGGGCGTTTGGTTGGAGGGAATTTAAATTCCCTCCCACCTAATTCCAAAGACCACTAACAGAGCGTTTGGTTGGAGTGGGGGAATTATGTGGGAAAAGAATTGTAATTTCATGGGAGTTGAATTACTGGGAATAAAGTGGGAATTTAAATTCCATTGGTTGATAGGAATATAATTACTGGGAATTTCAATTCCAATGTTTGGTATACATGGGAATTGAAAAGGAATAAATAGTATAAAGTCCAAAATGCCCATTGTTGTTGTTAAAAGGAAAGATCAGACATTCATTTTAGGTTAAACAAGATAATGGTAATTTTGTCTCATCAGTATTTTTTTTCTTCCTAAAATCCTAGGGGGGGCATGAGATTTTAATTCCATGAAAATGGGGGAATTGCAATTCCCTCCAACCAAACTATGGAATTTAATGGCCTTTGGAATTAGGTGGGAATTAAGTGGGAAGGGAATTTAAAATCCATCCAACCAAACGCCCTGTAAATTCTTTAGTTTGGTTGGAACAAAATTGTAATTCCTTCAGCTTGTTTGGTTCGCTGGAAAATATGTTAAGGAATAATGAGTATAATTACAAATATAACCCTACACAACAACAACAATAATAATAATAATAATAATAATAATAATAATAATAATAATAAAGAATGATGAGGGAAAAATTGTCATATTAGTTTTTCATGGAAAACAAAATACCTAGGATGGGCTAAAAATTTATTTTCCTCATTCTCAATGAAAACTTTTTCCAATGAAAAATATTTTTCATCCAACCAAATAACATAAAATATCATTTTCCTTCACTTTTAGAAAAACATTTTCCAAGGAAAATGTTTTCCATCCAACCAAACACCCCCTCATATTCATGGAATTAAAATCTCATTCCCCCCTTGGGATTTTAGAAAGAAAAAAGATAATGATGAGACAAAATTACCCTCCCATTTTTTAACATAAAATTGATGTCTCACAACAACAATTGACATTTTGAACTTTATACTACTTATATTCCTTTTCACTTCTCATGTATACCAAACATTAGAATTGAAATTTTCAGTAATTTTATTCATATAAACCAATCACTGAAATTTAAACTCTCACTTTATTCCCAATAATTCATCTCCCATAAAATTACAATTCATTTCTCAGACAATTTCTTCACTCCAACCAAACGCCCCGTTAAATGAGTCCAAGAAATAATCGAGTTCCCAGTTCCCACCCATAATTAGGGTTTCTTCTATGTCAATATTTTTACCTATATAAAGCCATCACCT